TCTGATTTATAAGACTGAGTAGGGAAGCATGACAGACATATGTATTTATTAAAGATACATTTACAAAATGTCCCAGTTTAATTTGACAACTCTGCAAGCTAAGGCCTCAGGAAGTCCAAGGGTATTACTCTGTACATATCATCATGACATTAGATTTCCAGTAGAAATTAAAAATCAGAAATAAGTAGTTTTAGTGTCTCAAATTTACAAATTGTATGTGCATCCATGTGTGCTATAAAACCAATGTATCTTTTAACAAAATAAATTACAGAAGCTAAATTATTCCACATATTTAGTGGATGTAGAAGAAAAATACATATGTATAATACATATACAGTACTGTACAACATTATTACTATTATATAGTAGATATCAGGAACAATACTTTCATGGTAACATAGAAATATTTTTGTCATTTATTAAATATGCAGCTAGCCTGTACATGTTAAAACTGAAGAGGACATGCACAAGATGCTTTTACTCCCCTAGAAAGTTATGAGAAATATATAGAAATACTTCTACCACTGAAACAATACTCTACTGTGTCTTACTTTTGAAACTCAGCTTCCTCACCATAGTCACTCTGACTCACCTCATATTTATATCAGTCAACATTTTAGGGAACCAGACAAATTGTACTTAACATTTGCCTGGCTCCCTAAAAATTACTTCTTTTAAAGATATATTTTCAGTGTTTCTTACTGATACAACCAATAGGAGAGAAAATTAAAGTAGTCAATCAGTTTATCTATTTGGCATTGATCTCTACTTACAGCATTTTGATAACTTCAAATAAGTGAAATCATACCCCTAATATTCCTATCTGCAGTGCTGGAGCTACAAAGTTATCCATATGCCTTCATCTTAGGACAGGAGTACAACCACAATGGCATCAAAGCAGCAACAGACAAGTGTTGTAGTTTAGATAACAGTAAAGTCAAGCATATGTGTAAATCATATGTGCTAGATGGTACCCATCACAGGACTCAACTGTGGCAAACAATGAGAGATAAAATTCCACCTCATTTTAAAGAATGAGGCAAAACTTCATGAGATGAAAGTTCATCAGGAAAGATGGTGACATTGTTACTAAACTGTTACTAAGCCTCCAATCTCTTTTTTAAATGTAAAATTTCCTGGGTGGGGAGGGAGAAAAGTTTCAAGATTTAGGTTTTAAATTTTGTAGTGACAACGCTGAACAAAAGAAATTATTCCACGGATTTTTAATGCCCTCTCTCCCCTGTCTTTTCTGTGAAATTCAAAGTAGCAACCAACTCTTTTTAGAGCCTGAGCGTGCTTGGTACCTACAGACATCACATTTCTAGTACAAATGAGTACTACAGCAAAGCCAGTATAATCTCCATGCAGATAAATACGGTAGTTTTATGCAAACAGTATTAGATGTATCTAGAAATCTCAGCAAACTTAGTCTAGGCCAGACATTTGCACTGTCAAACAAATTTTATGCTCTCTTGATAAAGAAGGTGATTGAACCAATACTGAACAAACAACCCAAGGTTAAAAACCAAAGAGCTAGTCTTTTGAGAAAACTTTTCCAATCAGAATAAGTGGAAAATTTTCTCTCCTATATCTAGCATAACACTGCAAAGGAGGTAAGAAACTACAGGAAAAAGGCAGGGCAGTTAGCAAGATAAAAACTAATTCAAAAAACCTCATTATTTAATGTAGTGAAATTGGACAATTCGAAGTAGCTGAATATAAACCAATCTTAATAACTATTTTAAACACATATGTCAAACTATACTATCTCCCAAAACAAAGTGATAGTCTTGTCCTACTTTGCTACAGTCCATCCTTTTTTTCACCCACCTGTTTCTCACTTAGAGACAAGGCTATAACTCATGCCCTATCCTGGGAAAATCCTTCACACTTTTGCTTCTCATCTTTCTTACTGACAGTCAAGTACCAACTTTAAGATCAAAGAACTGTTGTGAATCAATAGACCATAAATTAGTAGCTTTGATAAATAAGGAGAGAAAACAGTGCACAAGAAACTGATATCTCAAATAAAGAACAAGTAGAAAGAAGTAAAGGAAGACAAGAATTTTTTTCTAAGATCAAATTCTTTGTTTTCCCCAAGGGCAGCATTAATTTGTGGGCTACAGTTGTTAAAATGTCATCCCTAAGAACTAGGACCACCCATCCACAGCAAGCTTTAACTGAATTCCAGTCTTTAAAAAAAAAAAATAAATCTATATACTGTTGCCATATACCTCAGCTCCAGTGTCTTTACAGTGTATCAGGATAACTCAAATGCATGCTAATATGCTAATAAAGATGCTATATATAGTTAAAAACACAGATTTGCCATGGGTAAAATTTGCCACTCCATCTGTGTGGTGTGAGAGCAAAGAACAAAAACCTTCTGTAAAGTTTGCAGCCAGGTACAAGAAAAAAAACCAGGTTTTCAAGGAATTGATTACCGCTCAAAAATTATTCCCGAAACAGAAAGGAAAAAGCTTTATCCACTAAAAAGACTTTCTAGTGCATGTTTTATTATTGAGAAGCTTATGTCTTTGTAAGTAATGATGATAATTTTAGATGCATTAAGATCTTTGATCTCAGCTGATGACAGTAAAGTTCATAGTTATGAACTTAAAAAAAAAAAAACCAAAAAACCAAACACAGGAAGAAAGTAATAAACTTTGCAGCTCTTAAAAAGATACAGGCTACGACATGTAGTTAAGTCTTATGTTGAGCAACAACCTTATTCACTGAGAATTTCTCCACTTTTCATCTTATTTCTGTTTGTGGTTTTGAGCCACAATAAAATAATATTATTTTTTTTTTTTAATGTTATTTTTTAGGTACTAGGTGAAAAGTCCCTGTATTTGACTTGGGTAAAAACTGATAGAAAAATCTGACCCCAGATCCAACCCATAGATAGAGTTCTTGGACATCACATTTTCTTGTTTTCTTAAATCTGGATGAAAAACATAAAAAATAAGCTTTAAATGGAAATACATTTACAAACTCAAATAGAAAGCATCTTGTGCCATTCTGTAATAACTTCTCAGTCTGTATGTTATTACTGCTATTGAAATAGATGGCAAGAATACAACACCAAGGCTCTGCACATGATTAACATTTTATTCTTCCTGTAACTTGCTGTAAACCTCAAATGAACTTGCAGGTTGGCAATAGTATGTTAAGAGCTAAATGCCAAACTGCATGAGACATTTTTTCCAAACAGCATCACCTTCCTTGGATGTGGTTCCCTTTCCCTCTCCCCTCCTCTTTTCTCCCTTTGTCCCCCAATAGCTGTTATAGCTGGTTGGATGTTTCATTTGTATTTGGGACTTTAATCCTTCAGAAAGGTCTCTATCCTATACATTAAATTCTCCATGAAGAGAATTTTCCTCCTTTGAGCTCTAGCCTTGCTCTTTCTGCTGAGAAACACTGCAAAAAGATACAAATTATTCTGACTAGCCTGTCAGCAAAGAGCCAGACTGGGCTTATCCACCCATTTTCCACAGGTCCCAGAAGAATAATCATGTCACAGAGTAAATACGCACCTTCAGCCACTGCTTTCCGTGCCATATTAGGAAGTAACGCTGGAGATTCAATGTCCAGGGAATCAGCCTGGCTGGCTGCCTGGTCCTGCAGGGAGCTTTTCAGCTCTCAGGGTCGTGAAACACATGTGTTAGCCAGAACAACAGTCCTCCTCAGATTTTGTAAACATACTCAATGACATGTCCAAAGGTCATTGCTAAAGGCCATATTTTATAGAAACACCAAAAGACTTAAAATACCTGCAAAGGATCTGCCCAGTATAGGACTCGAAGATGAAAGCCTGACAAGATTTTTCACAAAGAGTCAGCTTTAAGACAGTAAGGAAAAAGGTGCCTAAGGACTAAGCTCCTTTAGGCAGCAGTCAACCCAGGTACAGGTGAGATGAAGAGTGGAAGTTCAACTTTGCTGAAATCTGAACTGAAAAGTCTACTATCAACATTATCCCTGACAATATTGTTTGGGGACCAGGTCTGATCTCCAAATAATGAAGTAAGCTGGTGCCTTTGGGTTTTGTTTTTCAGGGCTTTTTTATTTCTTAGGAGGAAGGAACAAGGTTTGGCCAAATCATCTCCTTGTTAACATGCTTTCATTTGCTGAACTCATTCCCATTACACCCAGCAGGTGAAAAATGAATGCACTTACACAGCAGTGTGATGTGAAATCTTGATAACATACCGAAACAGCTAGACATTTCAATCCTTTGCTGATAAATTTGCTCCTTTGAAAATGTGAAACATACTTCAAAAATATCAATGTGATGCCTCAGTGAACATCCCCTTATTGAAAACCTGAGTAACGATACATTTCTGGTCACAAACAAATGGCCTGACAAAGTCCAGATACAGACAGTCAAGGTCCTGTTCTGCCTTCACTTTCACAAGACTGATTACAGTGGAAATGGCCCCCCATACACTTCAGGGCCTTTAGTCTATAAAACCTTTAGGTCCGTTTTGTTGTGATGATGAAAGCTTTCCTCTTTCTGCTACCAACATTATTTGCTATCTCTTGTGAACATTATGGCATTTTGCTCGGAAAGGGGGATAGCTCTATCTGCATCACTAGAAATGGGGGGGAAAAAGCAAAATATTGAAAACCAAACATGCTCAAAGCTATGGGAGCTGCAAAGGATACTAACTCTGAGACATCCAATTCACTGTGGCTCTAGCAGTTCAAGTTACCCTAGGAGTTGTTAGATACATTGGAGATTGTAGAATGATAACACAGAAAAAGAAAGAAACCAAGCACTGTGAAAGAAAATATATTAGAGAAAGTGCTAGTACTGACGGATTGAAAGACACGACTGGTGACATGGCAAAAAAGGAATCTGAGCAGCAACACAAAAATGAAGAGATCAGAAAGTAAGAGAAGAAACACCAACAGATAGCACCATCAAGTAACACAGCAGGAATTTTATTTCTTTTGCAGAACAAAGCACATGTAAATTGAGAGAAGACATGTATCAGAATTTAGGTGAGGTTTGACGGCCAGCTTGAATTTTCAGGAACTGAAGATAGAAAAATGATTCAAGTTGTGTAGTTGTTACATTTTCATACCTTCATTTGGCAACCTGGAGTCAAAATTTGTACTGAAAGGCCTTGCCTTTACAGTTTTCTGGTTTCATTTTCATTGTGGTTCTTTCTTCAGTGTTTTGCATGTGCAAATGGCATGACCAACTACTAAATCCAAGCCACAGCTTCATTTCCTAGTTTTCCTGGAGTCCAAAAAACAGGACTGGAGTGTTTTTTTTTCTGAGATGCTGTTCCATAACCCTAGGTTAGAAGGCTGGCCAATACTTTTAACACCTCCTAAGACCCCCTGTTGTTTGACCAAAGGCCTTGGAAGGCATTTCTGACAGCTGGTATTGAGCTTAGCATCCTGCAGAGCTTGCAAGACATCTACTGGCATCCTACTCATGCCACCCCAGTGGTGCGGAAGGGCTGAGACAGCCCCCAGCCAGGCTCCGGTGGAGTGGTGGCCAGTGCCCTCCCTCTGCTGCCCTTCAGGAATGGCTGCAGTGCATGACCTTCCTTGACCTGAAGTTCTACTACTGTGACTGTGGTTAGAGGGAGGAGGATTTTTCTCCCAAGGTTTTCAGCTCCTGTTCAAATCAGTGAGTCTTTTGCGAGCAGGGCTTCTTCCCCTGTGACTAAGTGCTCTGAAAAACAGAAAATAGATGACTGGGTAAAACATCATATGGGATATTAATAATGTCATTTCCAGGCTTCTAAGGTTATGAAGACTTCAGCCATAAAGGGTGTTTATTATGTAACTGTTTCCCATCAATTTACATATAAAAACTGGTAGGGGAAAAAAAGTATATTACATTACAATGATTATAGTTACATATATTATGTATTTCAAGAAAAAGAATATTGGCACTCCTGTTTGAATAGATCTCTTCTATGTTTCAGAATACAGAATAATTATGAATATCATATATGCATATATGTGATGTATAAAACACTATGGTGGAGAAACAACAGGAACTCTACCATTACAGTTTAATTCAGTTTTATACTGTACTTAAGGAGTTTATGTCTGCACTGGTCACTGTGAAAAGAATAGCAAACTTCAAATGACAGCAAGCTGCACACAAAAAGAAAAGTTTTATTCATGATACTTATGAAACTATCACTGATCACAGAGTAAGAGGAGGATGAATTTAAAAATGTGTATGAAGTAAGTAACAATTTTAAAAGTGTGATTGAAAAGAATGTATTTCATATATCTTCCTAACTTTCAGTACCTTTTCACATCACAAAAACCTGTTAGACTTTGATGATCATCTATGTAAAAATTTAGCTTCCTATGATCCCTGAATTTTAGATATGCACTATGAGAGGGGAAGATTACGACACAATAATATTAATCAATATTGTAAGTTATTTTGAACTGTTTCTGACACCTGCAATGATGAAAGCAAGTTTATGTCACATTTGCAAACTCAAATGAAATTGTTTGACTTGAAATATTAGATTATGGTTGCTATTGATTTCTAATTCCGCAAACAAAACATGACAACAGGCATTAACAGAAATTATAGATTTTGACTTCGAGGACCTCCAAAAAAACAAGCCATTTGTAGTACTGGTGCTTACAGGTGTTAAGTGGCAGTAGTATTCTGCTCTCTGGTTGCTACTGTTAAAAAGTAACACAGGTTTGTCTTTTACCACGAAAACATTTCAGAAGTATCAAAAAAAAAAAGGTGAATAAATAAACAGGAAAAAAAGAGATAAACTGAAAGAAAAGGAATACCTGCTAAAGCTGGGCTGCTTGATAGTTTCATGGCAGAGTTCTACAGCTATTAGATGCAGTATCATGAAATATGTTCCTGTTGCAACCACAAAATTTAGCACATTAATAAAAACAACTAATCAATACAGCAGTATCAGCAGTTGGCTATCTGTAAAGTTCAACATTTAATCATAATTAAGTCAGGAAAAGCTGACAAATACAAGTGTAAGAAATCCACAAAGACAATACAGGAAGTAACTGAACCCCCTTAATTCATCAATTTGGTCAAGTCTGGCACTGGCTTCAGTTACTTCTGTTTATATTCACGTAGAATAACAATTAATCTTCAATGCATATCTTTTCCAATTATCAAATTAAGATTTGAGTTAAATCAATGAATGCAATGGAAGTTTAATTATTTTTAAACCTTATGAAATACACAATGAAGAAGAGTGTGTATGCAGATAACCACTTGAGTGTCACCCATTAAATAAATTAATAAAATAAAAATAGTGGTACATTTTCTTTCCTGTGAAATATGCTGCTATCGGAGCAGCCACTGTTGGCTGGTAGATGGTTATAGGGAAAACAGAGAATTTACAGCCTTGGATACAATTTCTTTTCCTAGGGCACCAGGTGTTTTAAATGCCACCAGAAGGATGCTCTAGGCAGTGCCATACTGTCCAACATGGTTTGGCATAGATCAGCTCAAAGCCTTTGTGTCTTTGCAGACTTTGATTAAGGGCCAGTGTTAGAACTCCTATGGGTTTTTACTTGATCCAGTGTAGCACAGGGATTTTTTTTTTTTTTTTTCATCACAGCTGCCAAAAATATGCCAGTTAAGATAATTACATTTCAATTTAAATTGGTAATTTAATGGAAAATTTTAAACCAGGATGTAGGGCAGAATATGTATTTCCAATCCTATCCCACAACAATAGTTTTTGTCTGTTGCAGAAGATTTAGGGGCCCAGTTCCATGTTCTTGTCTCAGTGATTCCAGAGAGGTTTAGCACCATCCATAGTTTTGCAGGATTGTCTCTTCAATCTATTTTAAGCCTTCAAATCTCACCTCAATTTAGTTTCATCTGTCTACTGTTTGCTGTTTCATTAACTACCTGTCTTTATGAGTCACAATACATGCAAGAAACAAAATTTTTCTGAAGATAGTTGCTCCCTTTCGGGAGGACAAGTAGAAAAACCCAAGATATTCTGTCTGCCACTTTTCTGTTGTTTTCATTATTTGTTTCGGGGCTGACACAGAAGCCTGGCAGTCGCAACATACTGTAAAGGGAATAATTTTCCTTTGTTTAGTGCATCATTTACATAATAAAATCCTCACAAAAATAACAGATGGTGAAGAGGCACTCATGTTGCCACATGTTGGAAGCATGATACAGTTCCTTGATGAACTCGTTTCTCTTACTTTTGCCTACAGATGTCTACCAGCTATTAAACCTTGAGGGTTAGTCATCTGGTGAAAGGTTTAAAGACAGGCAAAAATCTGTCTACAGAATTTTCCTGCTTCCAGGAGGAGCAAATTTTATACCCTGATAGAAATACGCAATCCATTGAAAATGGTTTCTGCTACCATGAAATGTAAATAATAATCTCTATTTTCAACACTCATTGGGTTGAAATGGTCTACTATAGAAGACAGAAAATACCATTATTCCATGGAGTCTGAGCTGCTTTCTCTCTTTTTGGAATCCTTTTCTGAGCAGAAGCCGGGGACAGAGTAAGCTATGTTAATGCTGTATATTAGCAATATCCATTCTTGGATGCATTACCATTAATGCTATGTTCAAATTAAGTGCTGGAAAACAAACATCTGTCACTTGGAATAACAGCCGTACAGCCTGAGTACAATGCAATGAAATAAGATCACTCTACACTCCCCAATTAGAGTTAATGGATCTGTTTCTGATCCCATTTACAGTGGTTTTACTGTCATGAAATCCATGCTATCATCTCCAGTGGAACTTCTCCTTAAAAAGAATCAGTTCCCAGGATGACACAGAGGGTATTTAAAACAGTGATCATTTAGTTAAGTCTAAATGTTGTTCCTTAGATGCATGGTTGTGTATTGCTTTCAGAGCTAGACTGCTGCAGTTTCAGTGTAGGGGCTGGAATAGGGAGACAGGCAAGACTATGGGTCTCTTACTACTCCTGTTCTACCTGAAATGTGGCATTTTGTCCAGCTGTGTGGAGAGAGCAAACACTTAAAATTAGCTAGATCCCTTAGCATCTACAGAAAAAGAAAGAAGTAATGTGATGTTGGTTACATCAAAAATATGTTCTCATCATGTTAACACAGTTTGGTCTGTGTGCATTAGCATATTAATGTTTATGAATGCTGAGTAGACCTTCATCCAGCCCATTTACCTTCCTGCATGCTAGAAATTTGGCCCGTGGGCTTCAGAAATCTGTTTTTCAGTTTAACACTACATGCTTATACATATTTACCAACACTACTGATGTAGAGGGCATCTTCCATTTTATGAACACCAACATAATATTCAAAACAGCGAACCTTCCTCCCTCTGGCTCTGCCATTGGGCAGGCAGGGCAAGAGAGGTGGTTTACATTTGAGGGCCTGCTTATGAGCATCCCCCACAGTGACGAAGCTCTGACCTGATGCTGTGGTGCCAGAAGCAGGAGTCTCCTCTGCCTGGACTGAGTGGAAGAACCTGAAGGCACCTTGTGAAGGCCCCCTCCATGCTCCAAGGTGTAGGTATGGTGGTATTCATTGTATTCACCAAGCACCTCAACACATCAGGGTGACCTTTCATCATGTCCTCATTTAATCTGGAAAATCACATGCCTTGTAGCCCTAAATCACCAGCTCTGAAGCTGCTGAGGTGACATACAAAACCCTTATAGCCAAGAAACTGCTGCTGCAATCTCCTGCTCCCATCCCACTCACTGTTCCTCAAAAACAAAAAAAAAGAATCTAAAAGAAGAACAAAAGGAGAATCTATTGCCTTTGGAAGAGGGGCCATCTTTATTGATCACCTAGATGAGGGGATCGAGTGCACCCTCAGTCAGTTTGCAGATAACACCAAGTTGGGTGGGAATGTTGATGTGATCGCGGGTAGGGAGGCTCTGCAGAGAGACCTGGACAGGCTGGAGCCATGGGCTGAGCCCAACTGGAGGAGTTTCCATAAGGCCAAATGCCGGGGGCTGCCCTTGGGCCACAACAACCCCCAGCAGCGCTACAGGCTTCGGGAGGAGTGGCTGGAGAGCTGCCAGTCAAAGAGGGACCTGGAGGGGTTGATTGACAGCCGGCTGAACAGGAGCCAGCAGTGTGCCCAGGTGGCCAAGAAGGCCAATGGCATCCTGGCTTGTGTCAGCAATAGCGTGGCCAGCAGGGACAGGGAAGGGATCTGACCCCTGGACTCGGCACTGGTGAGGCCGCACCTCGATTCCTGTGTTCAGTTTTGGGCCCCTCACTCCAAAAAGGACATTGAGTGACTCGAGCGTGTCCAGAGAAGGGCAACGAAGCTGGTGCAGGGTCTGGAGCACAGGTCGTACGGGGAGCGGCTGAGGGAACTGGGGGTGTTTAGTCTGGAGAAGAGGAGGCTGAGGGGAGACCTCATCGCCCTCTACAGCTACCTGAAAGGAGGGTGCACAGAGCTGGGGATGAGCCTCTTTAACCCAGTAATAGGTGATAAGACAAGAAGTAATGGCCTCATGTTGCACCAGGGAAAGTTTAGACTAGATATTAGGAAGGATTTCTTTCCAGAAGGGGTTGTTAGGCGTTGGAATGGGCTGCCCAGGGCAGTGGTGTTTAAGAGTCAAGTCAACACAGCTCTGAGGGATATGGTGTAGTTGGGAACTGTCAGTGTTAGGTTAATGGTTCGACTGGATGATCTTCAAGGTCTTTTCCAACCTGGATGATTCTGTGATTCTGTGAAAATGA